GATCTATTTATAAAACTGTGTATTTCGATGAGGACTATCTCATATCATCAATTCATATGCGGGAATTTTTTTTTTCAAATTGTGGAAATTAGTATTGCATATATAACGTCAATTTTAAAATTAGTATTATGTACATATATATATATATATATTTATATATATATATATATATATTATTCGTAATTAAATATAACCCGCAATTCCAAAACAAAATGATTTCGTAATTAAATATAAACTATATTATAAAAATGCTGCTGACAAATAATAAAATGACATGCACAATTATTTAACACAGCTGGATTCCGAATTTTTTTTTTATATTTTTTTTATAATAAAAAATATCCATTTGTATTTGGATTTTGTGAAGGAACACAAACGTAATCCAAGTTGGTAATATATTTGATCAAAATGTCAATTTGGCCCATAATAATATGAGGATGCCAAAGTTTATTAATTTATAAACTAATAAACTTAGATTTGATATATAGTAGAAACTCAAGAATCAAGATCATTAAGAGGGTCAATGATATTTCCCTTAGTTTGTTCATGGCCAAGCAAAAGTCTCAACGGAGAGATGAGATGAGTTGGGTTTGATGCAGTGTCTCCTATATCTTAAAATTAGCTGTGGATGTTTCGATACGATTCTTCGGAACCGGATAGAAAAATATGATATTTTTTGCTAACCGAACTCTTCAAAATTCTTGAACGGTATTTTTTTTTATAAAATCAAAATTTTTCGAAACCGAATCAAACTTGACCGGATTTTAAAAAATCCGGAAACCAATTTTTTAAAAAAGATCTATATTTTTTAATAAAAATCGGAATCAAACCGAAACCAAACCGATACCGAATATAATATAGTAACCGATTGGTGTATATTTTTACAAAACTGAAAAAATCGAACCGAATCATTCTCAAACTAATCAAACCGAATACCAAAACACAGATCCAATATTCGGAGTAGATATTTCCGTAATGAGTTTCCTCTAATAACATGCGATGTAGAAATACATAGATATCGATTCCCATTTCGTATAATATAAAATGATTTTCGATCATGTGACGATTTTTCATTTACGAACGATAAAGTTGTTACCGAGAATCTCGGATATATATATTTTCGTGTACATCTTGTTCCCTTTTCTAACTGATTCATCCGATATCCTCTACGATTTGGTTGTTTCATGTTGTATATGTACAGAGGTTTCCGATCAATGCAACACACAGATTTTTCCAAGCTCATAACCTGTTATGGTATCATAGCCTGGCAGTTTTTCTCACCAAAATTGTAAGACTCAGTTATGGTATCAGAGTCTGGCAGTTTTTCTCATCAAAATTGTAAGACTCAATTATTTTCTAGGTAGATATATCGTTCGACACCTATACACTTTAATTTGTGATATATATATATATATATATATTATAGATTCTTATTTTTCTCATTTGGTAGTAAAAGAAATCGATCGGCATTACGGATCAAAATTTAACCTTCTTTTTGTTACACTCTGAAAACAAAATTCACATATTATAAAATATGAAAAATCCCAAAAAAATACTGAACTTTTCAATTGTAACAAAAAATACTGAACTTTATTTTTTGTCAAATAAACATTAAACTTTTTAAATGAATCTGAAAAAACACTGAACTTTTTAAGTGATCCAAAAAATACAAGAACTTTTATGCGATTATAAAAAAACACTAAACTTTTTTAGTGGTCCAAAAAAATACATAAACTTTTTTTATTGTAAAAAAAACTAAGTAAAATAATATGACGTGTTTGCATCTTATTGTGCCACATCAGTCATTTTATTCATCTTGATAATCGTAGTAGAATTAAGTATTTATTTTATCAAACTTAAAAAATTTAATGTTTATTTGATAAAATAAAAAATTCAGTGTCTTTTTTGTCAAAATTTTAAAGTTCTGTGTTTTTTTTGGGATTTTTTCTATAAAATATATGGGCATTGCGAATTTTCATTAATAATTAGATGGTGAATGTTATTGACCTCGGGAGCATACTAAATGATTAGAGGATACCTATGGACGGTCCATCCCGTAATTAAATTATTCAATCCTAATACATTGATAGACTATGATTAGGATGTTGTTCACGACAAGCAACCGTGTCTAGGGAGTTCGTGTCTAGGGAGTTGATGAGTTAGACTTAGATGTGATTTCATGCCTTTCACATTTCATTTAACTCAATCATGGTAAATTTTAATCAAGATTAGATGATTCACTTGATAAGAGACGAAGCAAATCTCATTTCCAATCCAGGTTTGAGTTTTCATTCAAACAGAGACATTTACATAAATTTCTCATACTTTTTGAAAAATATAATTAGATCGAAAACACGATCAAAACCAAATATTTATAGTAAATCAAAGATATTATAACTATAATAGATAGATTTTCAAGATTTAAGACATGTTTAGTAACACATATGTTATATTTACTTAAAACAACATTTCTAAAGATTTAATATTTTTCTATAAACGAATTAGACCAACCGATAAAATGGAGCAACGAAATATAATTTCAGTTCATTTGCAACACCTAAAGGAAAAGTCCCGAGTGGAGGACAAGCCTAGGGAACTAAAGATTAATAGAATGGCTTTGTCTCCGATTTAGTTGGAGCTATTAAGTCTAATACCATGATCCTCCATGGCTTTTTTTTATAAAAAAAAATTATAATACTGTTATTCTTTGGCTTTTTATCTAACATCTAATTAGCTTATTTTATTATATCTATTTTAAGGTTATCTAACACATATGAATTAGATTAATTGGTCTAAAATATTTGTAGAAAATAAATATCACAATCACATCAATTAGCTATATCAATGTTAAATTGATATTTCTATAGCATCGCCTTTCAGTTTCATTATCTTTCGGTCCAAATATTTCATAAAAAATAATTAAATTGATTCAAAATGAATGATATAAAAATTGAATTATGACAATTTCTTTAAAATCAATTCCAAACGGAGCCCAACAAAAAAAATATATAACAAAAAAGGAGGGATATTTTTTTTAAAAAAATAAATATTTTTATCAGTAATATTCAAATATGAATCAAAATAAAACTAAATCGAAACGAATTCGATATAAAAATTGAATTATTATGACTTATTTAAAAATAAAATAATTGAACCCAAAATATAACTTAACCCAAACTCTAAATTTTTACTCCTAATTAAAAGTTAAAACTGTTTTCTAAGAATATTCTTTATGAATTTAGTGGTACAGATATCAGATTTTAAAACAAAATAGTAAATAGATAAAATTGTTCACCTCTTATGCAAAAATGAATAAAATAAAGAAAAAATATTTGAAAATCTTTGAACTTTTAATTTGGTGTAATATTAATTTCTAAACTTGTAGATGTACCTATTTATTTCCGAACTTGCATTTTTTAACACAATAATTTCTAAATTGTATTTTTGAATACAATAATTTATAAATTTTGCTTTGGTCAATTAGTGGTATAGACGATTATGGAACTATTAAGCAAGTTTAGAAATTACTATATTCAAAAATATAAATTCGGAAATAAATAAATATACCTACAAGTTTATGAATTAATATTTCATCAAATTATAAATTCAGAAATATTTAGGTATTTTGTTTTTAAATAAATTAAGTCTGTCATACCATTTATTCTTCAGCCGTCATGTAGCTTTTTAAAATACCCGATTTCAAGGAAGGAAGGTTCACAGTTTCTGAAGATATTTATATGAACATAAATATTACAAAAAAAAATTATTAAAATAAATATATCTATAATGTTTTAACTATACGGCAACACGAGCGTCGTCTCCCTTCCTCTCTATCTAACCAATATTTTGTCCATTATATCATTATATGTAAATCGAATAATATATAGTTATATTTAAATTTAATTTGATATAAAAATAACTTAATATCACCAACATCAGCATCAATTTAGCCTTAATCCCAATTTTTTTTTTTGGAATCATCTAAATCTTTTATCCCACTATTTTTTTTAGAAATTAAACTTTGATTCGAATAAAAATTTAGTTTTCAATATGAATATTTTATAAATAAAAATGCATGAAAAGAAACCTAATATAAAAACTGTAGATTTTTAAAAAAAATCTGAAACCCAAAATACTCTTGTTCAAAACGAATCTATTAGAGAAAAAATAAAACAAAAAACTCGCAAAAATAATTCAAAGAACAATTAAACAAGAAAACAATACAACAACGTGATGGAATAACAGAGGCCCCCTTGTTGACTCCCATTTTACAGACTCCATAAAAACCTCACCACTTCTTCCTCTTCCTTCTTCCCTTTTCTTCAACAGCCAAAATCTCTCTTTCTCTCTCTCGATCTCGATCGATGAAGATAAAGTGCGACGTCTGCGAGAAAGAGGAAGCGTCGGTGTTCTGCACCGCCGACGAAGCCTCTATCTGCTCCATCTGCGACCACAGAGTCCACCACGCTAACAAGCTCGCCTCAAAACACCTTCGCTTCTCTCTCCTTCAGTCCTCTTCTCCTCCTCTCTGCGACATCTGCCAGGTTTCCATCTTTATTTTCGATATTTCACGACATGGGTTTTGTTGTTGTTCCGTTTATGAATCGCGGGTTCGATCGGGTTTTCTGATTCTCCGACAAATTTCTCACCTTTTTTTCCTTTTCTGGGTTTGTTTGTTTGTTGATTGTGTAGGAGAAGAGAGCGTTCTTGTTCTGTCAGCAAGACAGGGCGATTCTGTGCAAAGACTGCGACACTCCGATCCACGCGGCTAATGAACACACCAAGAAACACGACAGGTTCCTTCTTACAGGGATCAAGCTCTCATCAGAGTCATGTCCGTACAAACCCACATCTGGTTCTTCACCTTCTTCTGCTACAACCCATGACTGCTCTGTTCCTGGTTCATCAATCTCGAATCCTCCAATCAAGAAACCTGTGTCAGCACAACAGATCAAATCCAGTATCCACTCTTCTCTGAACAAACCCCAGCCACAGTTAGAGAAACCGGCGGTTCCGGCACAGGAAGCTGCGGTGGCGGTGGCACCGGCGAGCAAGAACGGCGGCGATGATGCGGCGGCGAATCAATCGGGATGTACGAGCACGATATCGGAGTATCTGATTGAGATGTTACCTGGATGGCATGTCGAAGATCTTCTCGATTCTTCTGTTCCTCCATTTGGTTTCTACAAGGTCTGTGGTTTTCTTCACTCTTTCTGGTCACATATTTGGCTTCATAGGCTTTTTCTACGCAGTGGTTTGATCTAATTGGTCATCTAATCAGAAAGATCATGTTTTGTTTGTATCTAAAGATTTGATCTATTCAAGGAAACATCTGAAATGGGTTTTTGATTTTGCAGAATGATGATGGGATGTTGCCATATATGGAAGGAGAAATCAACAACAACAGCAGAAGCTTTGGGTCAGTTCCATCAGAGAATTTGGGGATTTGGGTCCCTCAGATTCCTCAAACAATGGCTTCATCACACCAAAACCAGTACCACTCTCATGGCTCCAACGGCAACACACAGATCGGGATGTTCAAAGAAGCTGTTTGCTCTTATGTCCCAACACCAAACATGAAACAACAACAACAAGGAGGAGGAGGAGGACAGAACAAGAGATGTTTTGATGATGGTGGATTCACTGTCCCTCAGATCCCTTCCCCTCGGCACAATAACAAGAAATCTAGATCCCTCTGGTAGTTTCTCCTCTTCCGGGTTTTGCTCTTTTGTCACCAATTTCAATTTTTTCAATCAAAGTTTCAATCTTTGCGATAGGCTTAGAGCTTTTGTTTGCAGACTTTTTGTCTTCTGTACATATGGTGAAATTGATGTTTGTTGTTTGCTTTTTTCATTTTCATTATCTCAACAGTTTCAATTCCACAAGATCTTAAAGCACTTTTGCAAGTAGTGGGATTTGAGATTCCTATCTGAATGAATTGAAACACCCAAATGGTACAAGATGCTAACGAGCAAATCTGTTTCCTTTATTGGGTTTCCAAATATGTATGAGACACTTGGTCTACATTTACCATATCATAAATCAAATCGGTGAATTATTTGCAAATGGGTTTCCATAATTAGAAAATAAAATATCTTTCAACACTAACGTTATTTTAGTAAATCCTATGAATGTGCCAAAGCAGGATTTACATGATGACAGATCTGTGTTTCATGTAAGTGGAAAATAGACAAGTTGGATTTGGACAGCCATTGGGTGTGGGAGTGTTGTATTTGATTGGGAATAAAGAAAAAAAAAAGAATAAAGAGAGAGGTGTCTCAAGATTCGAGCATAGTATATATATATATATATAACATGCCCACTACACTAAGACTCATTTTGTCTTTGAAGATAAATTATTTAACACAAACTAAAATTACACGACTAAATTTAGGTGGTCTAATGTTAAGACAATATACAAAACATGATTTATTCTTGGATTCAAATCTAAATGTGGAGAAGGATCTTTATCGGAATTTCTTCGATCTTCTGAGAGATATAGTTGGAACAAAATTCCGATAAACTTTCGGATTATAAAAAAACTAAAATGATACATACATACTAATTGTTATATGAATGTATCGTACTCTTGTCTTTCGCATAATTTCTTCAAAAATTTATTCTCAAGTAACTATTTTAAATACAAGTTGCGAGCGTTATCTAAATTTTTTAAAAAAATATGTTTTTTTGAAGTTTTCCTTTTTTATACGAAGGAAGTAGAATGGGTACTGTCCGGATTTTTTGAGGTATCCGGTATTTGAAAAAATTGTTTGCTTGTGTTGATTTTATGAACATTTTGGTAATTCTATATGTAAATATATTTGGATATTACTGTAAGTGTATTAAAATATTACGAAGACAAATATCATTTTATATATATCCGGATATTCATTCGGAGCAATCTGTCATTGTTTTTTTTTTTGAATATTTCATACGTATTTTTTACGTCATTTCTTAAGAAAAACATAAAATGCATATCGGTTGATGTTTTAGAAAATAAATTTATAATCATTAATCAATCATATTTTTTTCGTACATATAAGACACAAGTCACAAAGCCCAGTGCTCGGGCCCGTTTTGGTTCCAGTTTTGCCTAAACCACACTGTAGACTGTAGTAACCCAATTTTCTATTTTTCATATTATAATTTAATTTTTTGGTATTATATGAAGATGCCATTTGTGATTTGAGAACATATAGAGAAGGCAACCCACCATGATACAACTGAAGAAAATATGAAACAACGCACAAAATTATTCTGTAATATTTTATAACAAAAATTAATCAATAACGACGCTATATATCCTTTGGATCCTTATTGACAAAAACAAAATCTCACCACAAAACAAAGCAAACCCCTTTTTATATTTAAAAAAAAAAACAACAAATCAAACCCCAAAAAGATTTGCATAAACAAAACCCAAAAGCCCAAAAGCCCAAAACATGTGTAGTATTCCCATTGTGTGTGTGTGTATATATATGGATAGGAATGTGCATGTACTAATTAACACGTGTAATGTGTATGTATATGCATATGTTTTGTAATGAACGTATGTATAGAAAAGCTAACGTTGGCAATGAGCTTTGCACATGTAGAGACAATCATAGAAGCAAGGCCCTCCACAATGAAGAGGACAATCCAATCTCATGCCTTTGCACTTTCCCCTCCCCATGCATTGTGCATATTCTCCTCTCGCAAACTCTCCTCGTCCCCAACTTCTCCTCCCCTTTCTTCCTCCTAAATCAAAGATATTATAACTATAATAGATAGATTTTCAAGATTTAAGACATGTTTAGTAACACATATGTTATATTTACTTAAAACAACATTTCTAAAGATTTAATATTTTTCTATAAACGAATTAGACCAACCGATAAAATGGAGCAACGAAATATAATTTCAGTTCATTTGCAACACCTAAAGGAAAAGTCCACCTCCGCCGCCGCCACCTCCACCTCCGCCGCCGCATCCCCACTTGTACCAACCACCGCCTCCACCTCCTCCTCCCCATCCCCACCCACCTCCTCCTCCACCGCCGCCGCCACTTCCACCGCCTCCTCCTCCTCCTCCGCCGCTGCCCCATCCCCAACAGAAGCTTCCACCGCCGGTATAACCGCTTTTCTTGTCCTTGAGGGCTATTTCATTGGTAGTGTTGGTTTTGGGTGCTTCACGGGTTCGGTTCTTGGCTTGATGAACGTCATTTGTGGACGCGGCTTGACAGAAACTGAGGTTGTTCGTTTGCAAGAGTGAGAGGAGGAGGACGAGGGAGAGGACAAGAGACAATGAAGTTATGATGTTTGGTTTTGTCTTCATTTCTCTTGATTTCCCCCACAAAAGTTTTTGGGAGAGCGGAATAGTTTGAATGGTGGGTTCTTAGTTTACACATCTCTTTTATAGCAACTTGTATTTCCATTTTTTGTAATGAAAAATCCCGATTGGCAGTTAGGATTGGTCCCTAAAAAAAATGTTAGGTTTCATCAATACCCACAAAATAAAATTGGAGGAGACCAAAAGGAGAGAGAAAGGAACAATCATAATTTGAATCTTTTTTAGGACGCATAGAACCCTAACATGATGTTCCACAAAAATATCGGAAAGGAAGATATAATACATAAGAAAATAATAATAGGGGACTGTATAGATAAGGTTATGTCTCTTGTGAATTACCCACAAATTATATAACTTTGCAGTGTATATATAAATTGTATCCTATATTTTTGTATTTTTATAAAGTTAACAAAATTGTATCCTTTTACATATGGGATATATGGTTCATTGTCTCTAAAAATCCAGAAAGATGTAATTTTGGTGGTCACGAATTTGGTTAGGGGGAAAAATATATAAAATAAAACCAACTTTGTAGTATCGTAAAGTGAATTCGTTGGAGGGAGATCCCTTAGGGCACACTTCTCTTGCACGTTCATCACTTTGGACAACAACCTGCATGAGCCTTCTCTTTCAATGAATGGGTTCTTTTTTTTTTCTCTTTATATTTAATTAAAAAGCTTAGGATATGATGAAATGGATCCTATATATATATATATATTGTTGGATTTTTATTAATTCGAATGGAGGATGAGAAAAGTTTTTTTTTTTTGTTTTAATCACATTTTTTCATTATTTATATGATCATCCATTTGATTATTGTTCATCATCACCACTTTTCTCCACTAAATTTTTATGATATTTTTTGTATCTTTTTCATACTCATTTTTTCAAATCTATAAATAGAAGGTTTTGTTTTTATTTTCAACACAACAAAATAAAAATCCAAGTTTTCTAAAAACGCGTTAAATTTTCTGTGATTGGAGAATATCTTTAATTTACACATGAGTTTGAAGTAACACTGTTTTGGTTAGATATGTCTCTTCTATCATAAGAGGTTATATTCAATCGTAGATGTTGAGAGATGAATAGTTTCCTTAAAAAATACGATTTGTTGTACATTTGGATTTAAATTTTTTAGTTTCGCTTTTGAAATTTATATTGATCTAATAATATTGTTTTTATCACAATTTAATGTACCATTCCAAAATGACCCATTAGTCCATCTCTATGTACCTCTCAAACAAGTAAATCACATAAAAAATAATATGGCACACAACTTTTTTTCATGAAACAAGTATCTTTCAAAACAATAAACCCGACGCATACACGATTTTATAATTTGGATTTTATTTGACAAAAAAACAAAGTTCAAGATTTTTTTTAATCAAAATTGTGTAGGTTTACTTCTTTGAATTTCTCTTATAGAATATTATGGAAGAAATTAATAAATCTTTTGAAGGAAGAAAGAACTTGAAATGGTTTTCTTAAATCTTTCTTTTGATTTCTCTATTTTAATTTTCCTTTATTTCAAATTCTAGACAAACATATAGTATACTACAAACTCATAACTAAATTTACACCTAACTCATTAATTTATCACATTTTTAACTTAATTTATATCCTAATCTTCATAGTGGTGTCAAATGGATCTATCTCGCGAGTTGGGCCAATATTTTACCGATTGGAGACTAAATAGGGTCGGAGAACCAACCCACACACCCACAAGTTCATCTCCAAACACAATCTATCGTTTTTCGTGTGAAATAGTTTCATCTCCTACGTTTCAATTAGAATCCGACAAAAGAATCAGGGAACTCGAACAACGTGTAATAGAAAGAAAACATCTCCGGTTCATAGTAAAACCCAAAACGAGAGAAAGACAAAATTCTCGCCCACACAACATTTTTTTTGTCTCAACGGTAAATCTTATATATATAAATGATGTTACAATAGAAATTATTAAAGGTAATACAGATATTAAAGTTCATCATAATAAACAAAATAAGTGAAACAAAGAAGAATGAAAGTTAAATAATAAGTCATGGTGCATAAATGTTGTAAGTGGCCCACAAAAACATTTAGAAACGATAATAGGAAGAAAACGTCTTCCAGATATTTTAATAAACCATATCTGCAACAACGCTTTTATTCTTTGGAAGAAAAAAATCACAATATATATACAAGCGCATATATTCGGTTTGTCAACCAAATTTACAATAGTTTTCCAAATCAATCAATACATCTTTTTAAAAAAGACAAATTAGTAACTGGCAACGGTTTTGGAAAAATCATACAACCTTATTTAAATTAACCGAACCATGCAACAAGAACTGTTTCAGCAAATGTCTCTTACTTCAACTTTTTCAACGGTTTTTCTACATATTTAGATCTTATCATTCTCGAGTCAAATCTCTAACAACGACGACCAAATCTAGCATAAACCATCTTTGGCGCTGAGACGCATATTTTTTTTTTAATTAAAAAAGATAGAAAAGAAAACAAAAAATTCAGGTTGGAAAATCTCTTTTCCATTCACTATTTATTGCGTATTGTTTTACTGGGCTTAGTTTCTGTGGGTTGAGCCCAATCTCTCATTTCCTGGGCCTAACCCAAGTAACAATTTATATATAAAATTAAGGAAAATCTGAATTTTTTTTCTATTTATTTACAGCCAACTTTAGAAAATATATATTTTTAATTATTAACCGAACAATAATCAAAATGGAACCGAGTCTCATCTAAAAGTAGAATGGATATACACTTTTTTAAAAACCATTGTTTTCCGTTGCCGGGACTTGAACCCGGGTCTTTCGGGTGAGAGCCGAATATCCTAACCATCTAGACTACAACGGAATTTGAAGAAGTAGATGCTTTGGAAATATGATAGTTTGACAAAAATAATTTTTAAAGTAGATTATCATATAAAATATACACTTTTTCTTGTTACTATCCCATATTTTGTTGATATGATTAAATATGACTACGAATTATTAATTATGTCCAAAACCACAAAAACAAAAATTCTAATAATTTTTTTTTATAAGAAACCTTCTATTTTCATTAAAATTTGGCAGTTTAAATTGTTTTTGATTTAAAATTGTTATATTTTTAACCATAATTTACAAATTGTTTACGGTTTGATCATATATGTCTAAAAACTTTCTTATTACGTATAAACACGAAGCATCGTCAAATTTCCTTATATACCTAACTTTTATTTAGACGCCAAGAATAATCAAAGTAATTCTGCTAGTTGTTATTTAGAAGTGCTTATTTATAACAAACTATATTGTGTATTTAAATTCAGTTTTTGATTGATATGATACGATAAAATTAATTAAAGTTGTATTGCTATAATATATATATATATATATAGAGTATCTCTCTCTCCTGCTTTTTCATTTTTGTTCTTGTGGTCCATTTGTTGCGGCACAAACCATCATTCTAAGATCAAATATTTTAATTCCAAGATGTTAAAAGTCTCAAAATGCTTATTATATATTTTTATAGTGTTCATTTTGGGTATTATTCCATATGGATATAATCTTGTTTATTTCATAACAAAAATATATTTTTCCTTCAAAAATTTGATCCACATTGCATATCTATGTCTCACCATTCATATGATTAAACATCTATTTTTGGTTTGCTCGCATATTGTCTAATTTATTTCATATCCATATTATGGATCCATAAATGGATAATTTATTTATTTATTGTGTCTGCCTCCAATAACACATTTATCTTATTATAAAATAGCTACCCAATTAATACCATGCTATTTTACTATTAATTACCGATGAAACAACAAAAAATCCACACGAGAATTACAATTTAGTTTAAATTAAAAATAATTTTCTTATAAAATTTTAAAAATAACTATTAATAAATCTAGAAATTATATAATTATGTGATGATATTTTACTTTTTACTAAAAACATACTATAAAAAAATAAATTTAAATCATAATACTAAATAAAATTATCAACAAAAAGTAATGTATTTAAAAGTAAATAATAAAGACTAATATGCTTCAAACAAAAAAGAACATTTAATAATTTTAAAAGTAATGTATCATTTGATAATTTTTCTGTAAATAATCAATTTTTTTTTATTTTGATACCAAATCGTTTGATTGAACCATTGTTGGATTGTTTCTTCTCTCTTTTGAAATTTTTATCAACACTTTTCTGATTTAGTTTGTGATATTTAAGTTTTATATATTTATTTTTATTTATCATTAAGTTAGAAATAAATATAAATAAAAAAATATTATATATGTCTCAAACTCGATAAATTGGTTCGTTCAACTCAACTTACATAAATTTTCAATAAAAATAACCAACTTGTAATAGCTTACGTAAATTTTCAAGTAATAAAATTTGATTGGCAATACACTTAATAGAGCAGAAATTCCATTCTTAAATTTTACGGTTGTTGAATTATTATTTTTTTATTGATTTTAACTTGACCTATATCATATACTATGAAACTCTATTTTTTATATTTTATATATTTTTCGAACCAGCTTATGGGGAACAACAAACCGTCACAGTAACCACAGAGAAACAAAACGACGTCGCTTCTTCTTGCCACGCTCACGAGACGCTCCCTTGTAATATTTAGACAGACAAAAAAACTCTCTCTGCTACAACTCTGCAATCTCCTTACATGGCAGCAACGGTCATTTTCTTCCTCCACCTCGCTGCCGTCCTCTCCGCCGCCGTCTCCGGCGACCCACGACGGAGCTCCGTTACCGAGGTGCAAGCCCTCACCTCATTCAAGCTCGGCCTCCGAGACCCTCTTGGCGCCCTCGACGGCTGGGACCCATCGTCTCCGGCGGCCCCCCC